AAAAATTGTTTTCCAACCTTTTACTCTAAGGTAGTGTCTGTCTTTGTCACTGAGGTGGGTTTCCTGTAAGCAGCAAAAAGCTGGGTCCTGTTTGCGTATCCAGTCCGTTAGCCTATGCCTTTTTATTGGGGAATCGAGTCCATTGATGTTAAGAGATATTAAGGAGAGGGTGTTGTTGCTTCCTGTCATTTTTGCTAATAGTGGAGACATCATTTGTGTGGTTATCTTCTTTTGGGTTTGATGGAAAAGGATTATTTTCTTGCTCTTCCTAGGATATGATTGCCCTCCTTGTATTGGAGCTTTCCTGCTATTATCCTTTGTAGAGCTGGATTTGTGGGAAGATACTGTGTAAATTCGGTTTTGTCATGGAATATCTTAGTTTCTCCGTCTATGGTAATTGAGAGTTTTGCTGGGTAAAGTAGCTTGGGCTGGCATTTATGTTCTCTTAGGGTCTGTATGATATTTGTCCAGGATCTTCTGGCTTTTATAGTATCTGGTGAGAAGTCAGGTGTAATTCTGATAGGTTTGCCTTTATATGTTACTTGGCCTTTTTCCCTTACTGCTTTTAAAATTCTTTCTTTGTTTTGTGCATTTTGTGTCTTGATTATTATGTGATGGGAGGTATTTCTTTTTTGATCTAGTCTGTTTGGTGTTCTGTAGGCTTCTTGTGTGATTATGGGCATCTCATTCCTTAGGTTAGGGAAGTTTTCCTCAATAATTTTGTTGAAGATATTTACTGGCCCTTTAAGTTGGGAATCTTCACTCTCATCTATACCTATTATCCTTAGGTTTGGTCTTCTCATTGCGTTCTGGGTTTCCTGGATGTTTTGTGTTAAGAACTTTTTGCATTTTGCGTTTTCTTTGACAGTTGTGTCAATATTTTCTAAGGTATCTTCTACACCTGAGATTCTTTCTTCTATCTCTTGTATTCTGTTGGTGATGCTTGTGTCTATGACTCCTGATTTCTTTCTTAGGTTTTCTATCTCCAGGGTAGTCTCCCTTTGTGATTTCTTTATTGTTTCTACTTCCATTTTTATGTCCTGGATGGTTTTGTTCCATTCTTTAAAGGATTTTTGTGTTTCTTTAAGGACTTCATCCTGTTTTCCTGTGTTCTCCTCAAGTTTTTTGATAGTGTTATTTATTTCCTTCTTATAATCCTCTAGCATCATCATTAGAAGTGATTTTAGATCTGGTTCTTGTTTTCCTGGTGATATGGGGAGTTCAGGACTTTCTAATGTGGGAGAACTAGGTTCTGATGATGGCAAGTACCTTGGGTTGCTGGTGCTTGTGTTCTTGTGCTTGCCTTTTGCCATCTGGATTCACCTTTGTGCTATCAGAGCTGTCTCTGACTGGGGCCTGTCTTTCCTATTATCTAGGTTGTGTCAGAACTGTTTGGGATGGGTTTTGCTGCTGGGGTTAGAGCTGAGGCCCAAGATGTGCTCCGTGCTCAGGTGGAAACCGGAAGGGGCCTGGGCTCCGGGTCAGGAGTGGATTCCTGGGTCCCAGTGGGTCCCGTTTGCTCCCTGATTGGGGGCAAGTATTGCCACCTCCTAGTCTAAGATACTGGTTGAGTTAGAACTACTGAGAGCCCCGCTTCCTCTAGGTTCTGTGAGATTGAGTGCAGAGCTGACTTCCGCGACCTGCGGGGGGGGGGGGGGCAAATCGGAAGGAACCCGTGCTCTGGGTCAGGAGTGAATTCCTGGGTCCCAGTGGGTCCAGGTTGCTCCCTGTTTGGGGGCAAGTATTGCCACCTCCTAGCCTAAGATACTGCTTGGCAGAGAGGTCCTGAGAGCCCCGCTTTCTCTGGATTCTGTGAGATTGGGTGCAGAGCTGCCTCCTGGGATCTGCCGAGTGCTCGGGCCCTGACCGGATGGAGTCCGGTCAGGAGTGGATTCCTGGGTCCCAGTGTGTCTCGGTTGCTCCCTGTTTGGGGCAAGTGCTGCTTTTTCCTTACCTGGGATGCTGCCTGAGATAAAGCTCCTGGGAGTCCCTCTTTCTCTCGGTTTTCTGGGGTTGGGTATGGAGCTGCCACCTGTGACCTGCTCTATGCTCGGGCCCAGACTGCAGTGGTTAGCATTTTCACCTATTCCTTAGCCATTTTACATTTTGCTTTTATTACCTTTTGTTTTGAGACACGCAGTAATGGGCTGCATGATGATGCTTCGGTGTGCATCATTGCACTTTGGGCATGTTCTTCCTTTCACCACCCAAGGGGCCCTACTTCAGCATCGACACATGGGAGGAAACACCCTACATATATTTTGTCCTTTTTTACCCATCATCCCCCCCTCCTTTTAGACGCCTCCTTCCCTCTCCTTGCCACTATATCATCTCTTCATATTTCCATCATTTGAGAGAAAACATGCTGTATTTGTTCTGAGTTTGGCTTAGTTTTCATAACACGATGGTCTCCACATTCATCCGTGTTCCAGAAAATGAGATCATGTCATTCTTCTCTTTAATTTTTAAATTTTTTTTTTTTTAGAATTTCATATGTGAGTACTGTATGTCATTTCCCCTCCCTTCCCACCCTCCAAATCCACCTTTCATAACCTCTTCATCTTCAACTATTGTTCTGTATATATGTAAACGCCTACGTATCTATAAATACAGTCTGCTGGCTGTATTTTGTGTTGCTTTTATGTTTGAGTAAATGTTTAGGGATGGCCACTTGGACTTGGCTAACCTATTGGGTACTTATCCCTTGAGAAGACTCAGTCTCCCTGTCAGTTCCCACTGAGATTGTCCATAGATCTTCGTCTAGGAGTAGGGCCATGTGAGCTTTCCCCCATCCATGTTGGTATGTCAACTGGTATTGTTATTGTGCAGGTTTTGTTTATGAGATCATAATACTGAGATTTCATGGGTATGCCTTCCCTGTCATGTGCAGAAGATGCAATGTCGTAGCAGACTTCCTAGTCCCTTGGCCCTTACCGTTTTTCTTCCCCTTGTCTGTGATCATCCCTGAGCCTGTGGTGTAGGGGTTGTGTTGGAGATGTATCACTTAGAGTTTCCCAGGCACAGTAAGTTATTTTCTGCAGTTTAAACAGTTGTGAAGGCTAAATCTCCTGGTTTTTGAAGGTGCTGTGCATGTTGGCAAGAAAGAAAAGCAATCAACAGTCAACCTATAAATCACAAGGACAAGCATGGCAAAATGTTTCCCTAATAGAGGTGGGGGGTTGGAGTCTTGTCACTTTTTTTTTTTTTTGAGAAATATCTTTTTGGATTATTTATCAGTTTTGAAGTTAAATTGGATTACTTGCTTCTTGTTGTTGCTTTTAAGTGGTTTGTGTAATCTGGATTAGTAACCATCTGCCAAATGGGAAAGATTTTGCTCCTACTCTGCAGGTTGGTTCAGGTTGGTTCTTCATTGGGCTACGTCTTTTGATGTGTAAAAGCTTTATAATTGGATGTAATAGTGCTTGTTCATGCTGACGTTTGTTTCCTGAGCTGTTGGCTTCGTATCCAGGAAGGTGTGGTCTGCGCCAGCATGTTAAAGTTTTCTCCTCTGCTTTCTTCAGGTGGATTCCAAGTCTGTTACATTCATTAGTCTTTTACCTCCTTGGAATTGATTTTCATTTGTGAGAGACATAGGTCTAGCTTCAGTCTTTCACATGTGGATATCCAGTTCTCACACATCCATTTGCTGAAGAGCCTCTCTTTTCTCTAATGCATGTTTTATGCACTTTGCTTAAGAATCATTTGGCTAAAGAAACATGGATTCATTCCCGGGACCTTTTTTTTGCTCCAGTGATCCATGTGTTTGTTCTTCTGCCAGTGGCAGGTTGTTTACGCTACTGTGGTCTGAAGCATGCTTTGAATCATGTACTGCAATTCTTCCAGCTTTATTCTTTTTGTCCAAGATCATTATGGTTATTTCGTATCTTTTGTGCTTACATATGAGTTTTAAATACATTGAATATTTTGCTTTTAGTGGCCATTTAGACTTCTTTTGAGAACTGGTTGTGTGCTCATTTGCTATTGACTGATTTTTTTGTGTGTATAATTTTAGTGTTCTTTATAAATTCCAATATAATATAGTTCTTAATAGAAATTGATCCTCTGTCATATACCTACCTGGAAAGGACTATTTTCTCATCCTGTGGGGAGGACCTTATGATCATTCTCTGTACTGCTGGAGTCTACTTCAGCACATCCTGACCTATGCTTATATCTTTAAGTGGTTTATGTATATTTTCTCTCTGGCAATTTCAAAGTCTTAGGTTTTACGCTCAAGCCTTTGATGTGTTTTAAATTATTTTGGTGTAGAGCATTGGAGAGAGATTCACTGTCATACCTGTGGAAATCCAGTTCTCTTGGAATCACTGATTGGAGAAACTGTCTTTTACCCAACTTGTATGTTTTGACATCTATGTGAAAAGCCCATGCATGAGTTTATTTTTAGGTATTATACTGTATTCTATTGGTCTGTATGCCTCTGTTTTCATCAACACATACTGTTTTATTAGTATTGTTCTTTAGTATAACGTGAAATGAGGGATTATGAAAACTCCAGCATTGTTATTTCTGCTCAAGACTGTTCTGGACATCTGGGATCTCTGAGTTTCTATATGAATTTTAGGATTAACTTTTACAGATTACTGAATTTATGATTTGGATCACATTTAATCTGTGGGTCCCTTTTGGTAAGAGAGCCATCGTCATCAAATGAATTCTGATGATCTGTGAAGATGGGAAGTCTCTCTTCTTCTATGATTTTCTTCAAGGTCTTTCTATTATGCTTCAAAGTTCTCATTATAGAGGTCTTTTACTTTCTTGATTATGTTTTTTTCCTAGGTTATTTATTTTTATTTATTTATTATTTTGAGACTAATGGGAATAAGAGTGTTTCCCTGATTTTTCTCAGTATGTTCCTTAGTGGTGTTTAGAAAAGCCATTTATCAACTGAAAGAAAGTACTTATATCTAAGCATTATCTGTTAGAATCCTTAGGGTCTTTTAACTATAAGATCCTCTTATTTACAATTATGGACATTTTTCTTCCTTTTAAAATATTTTATTAGCATATATTAAGTATACATCATAGTGAGTTTCAGTACGATATTTTCATACATGTACATTCAGTCATATTCATCCAGGTACCCTCCTTTGTCCCAGTCCCACCCTCTTAATTCTTTGCTTGCCCTCTGTTAATCTGTGTGTGTGTGTGTGTATCCATACTTCTGCATGTATGGCATTTGTATGAGTGCACATGTGTGATATCCTTATTTGCTTTTCCCTCTTATTTTTGAGACAAGTTTTCTCACTGAACCTGGAGCTCCCTATGTTGGCTAGGCTGGCTGACCACTGAGCCCACAGGATCTGTCTGTTTCTGCCTCTAGCACTGGCATTACAAATGCACCACACCTTGCTGCTTACTTAGCTGCTAGGGATCTGAACTCAGGTACTCACGTCAGTGTACCATCAGGCACTTTACCCATAGAGTGACCCCCGACAATAAACTAATTTTTAAAGGCCAAAATTATGTACAATATTCCAGTTGGTAGAATATGTAACTTCATATGCATTTTGAGTAAAATAACTCAAAAATACGTTCACTTTCAATATATATATAATTTGTACAGATATTTCAGTAATTTTTAATACATACATAATTTGTTAAGCAAGGAAATCAGTTATAGTTACAAATGAGAAAGTATAAATAAAAGTATATATTATCAAACATTTACTTTTAACTCTTTTATAAATTTTATAATGTGTTTTCAACCATTACTCTCCATTTGATGATGTATTTGTTTTTTTTTTTTCTTTGAATTACAAAGTCTCTGAAGACTCTAAACCAGACTAAATGCTTTCCATTGTGACAGGAAATAGATAACTGGCTATTCTAGTAAGTAGTTTCCTTTTGACTTTGATTAAATGCCATATATGGATACAAACATTAAAAATATTTAACATCTTACATGGTCGGTTCATGAGCGCTTTGCTCCAGCCTGCACACTAACCATTGAGAAATAGATGCCTTTCTGGGCCAGCAGCTGCTGGTGGGTGCCATGCTCCTTGACCTTGCCGTTCTGAATGACCACTATCAAGTCTGCGTTCTGGATGGTGGACAGGCGGTGTGCGATCACAATGCAGGTGCGGCCTTCCCTGGCTTTGTCCAGCGCTTCCTGGACAACCTGTTTCACAATTGCACCAAAGAATTAATGACATAAACAGTGCTCTTCTTATAGATCCCCTTCCATAACCAGATCCTGGATTTGTACTCTCTCTCCTTCAACAGTCATAGTGGTGAAATAAGGTATCTGTCATACCAGAAAAGAAGTAAGCCTCAATTTGGATGAATTCTGAGTCAGGAGGTATCTAATATTAAAGTAAGGGCAGTAAATACATCTATCCAATCATTTAAAACACTTATGAGTCTTGCCACACAACATCCCTCAAGGTGGTCCTCCAGCCCAGCTCATGGTACATGCAGGAAGCTGGAGCACCAGCCAAAGCCATCACAGCAGGTAGAAAACATCCCTTGTCCATCTGCCTTTCAGATAGCTCAACTCTTAATCTTTCTCAAGCTGGAAGGCAGCAGCAGTGGCTATCTTAGGGCACTGTCAGACTCCAACTCTCACCTTCAGCTCCTCATAGGCTGCTGCAGAGATGTTGCCTGCAGGAGCAGACTGCTGCCAGCATGCAGCTTGTAGGCAGAGCATCATGGAAAACATAGGGTCCATGACTAATCTGCCTCTTATCACTGAAGGTCTCCTAAGTCCCAGCTGCAGACATGTTTAAACTCCACTGGGAGCCAACAGCAACAATCAGCTATCTGGAGCAGTGTTCTCTACTAAGGCGGAGAAAGAACTCAACTTAACTCCTTACCTTTTCACTTTCTGTATCCAGAGCTGATGTTGCTTCGTCCAGAAGTAAAATGTGAGGCCGTCTGACGAGGGCGCGTGCGATGGCAATGCGCTGCTTCTGCCCACCCGACAGCTGAGTTCCTTTGTCTCCTACCCTGGTGTTGTATTTCTGTGAACAGAATTTGGTTGTTATGAAAATAGAGCCAATGGAAAAGTACAAAACACAGTTTGATCACAGAATATACAACTTTCTAACGAACATAATATAAAATGTAGAACATGGATTTAACAGTCAAAATCGAAGTAAAAAAATCAATTCTAAAACTCACTCATTATATTTACAATAATATAACGTAGTATCTAGAAAACTTAGGTCTAAATTAGGTTCATAGGAAAAAACCAAAACAGTTCTAAAATGGCAGATTCAATGTCTCTGTTATTTTTAATGTGTTTTTACATTTTATTTGTTAAGGGAGGTCGCAGTGCAGCTCGTAATGGTTAGGTCTTTCTAAGGGGATCAAATGGAGCATTTTGTTGGCACTCTCCTCTAATAAGATCTCATTGTACATCTCAGGGAAATCTCACACTTACTACTTCAACCAGGCTAGCCTTGAAGAGCTCCTGTCTCAGTCTTACAAGTAGTGAGATGACAGCTATATGCTATTGCTCTTGGCTTTATCCTCTGTCTGGAAAATAGATACCTTAAGATAATATGCTTTCGTGTGAGTTATCCAAAATTTATTAGTGTAGGCATAGTGCTAACTTTCAGCCTCTGGTTTCATAACATTTAGGGCAAGACTAGAAGGAAATTTAAATAGCTGTACATTATTATCAACGCTTGACCTGGAGATGATACCCTGTGAAGTATTTTAAAGTAAAAAAAATTATTAGAATGATAGGATTTGGGTCTTTGTTTTTATGAGCTATCACCAACAATCCTATACTTTTAATTGACATTGAGGATTTGTACTTTAACTTCGTAAAGTCAAGTAGTCCTCAAAAATTTTTTGTTTCATATTCCATTCAAAAATCTTCCTGTACTGTTTCCCACAGTAGGCAACCATTACTAACAGGCAATATGATGCAGAGATTATAAGGTGTACATTGGATATGGTGTCACATACAATGAGGAAACAATATTCTCCCATATTTGAGCCTTAGTATGTTAAGATTATAGCCAAAATGTTTGCTTTGATGTTTATACCTGCATTTTGATTATTAAAACCAGGCTCTATATATGAGAAGTCCTTTTTGGGGCGGGGAGCTGTGTCTGCGCGCATGCATGTGTGTGTGTGTGTGTGCGTGTGCACTCGCACATACATGTGTAACTTGGGAACTGTGCACTTCTTTTCTTCAGATAGGGTTTCTCACTAGGATCTAGGGCTCAGTGATTCAGCTAGGCTGGCTAGATGTGAACTCTAAGGGATCCTCCTGTATGTGCTTCCCACCACAGGGATTACATGCATGGACTCCACCTTGCTCTTTGCCTGGGTGCTGAGGATTGAACTCAGGGCCTCATGGTTCTACCTCAAGCACTTAAGTGACTGAACTATCTCTCCAAACCCTGGATTCTTCTTTTTTTATTTGCTGTATTCGATAGCCCTAGTACTATGGTGCCAGAACACGGCTCTTATTTGTAGAGAAGGCCCCAGGTAAGCTCTGGGCAGATGATTGATATAGGTTCCATCCCAAAGCTGCATCTGCCTCAGAATCCAGGAGCTCTTCTGTGTTCCACTCTTAGTGAGTACAGAGTCCAGATTGCAGGAACTGAGCAGTGATCCTTGTGGGGCCTCTAAGGACAGTGTTAATTAATTCTACACAGAGGAGGAAAAAGACTAAGGCAAAGCAAGCCAATTTCTATGTCCAGTCACTCAGAAGATGTCTGGAGAATAGAGTTGGTCTAGAACACTGAGAATAAGAATCCTAATGTCCACAGAAGTGCTCTGAGTAACAGAAAAACTGAAGTCTAGAGGTGATCCTTTTGGTAGCCAACTACTAGAGGACAAAATACATTTAAGAGGCATAGTTATAATGGTTCTGTGTTGTAACCTGCATCAGTTCTCACCTGGGATTTAAGTCTCAGAGTCCTGGACCCTCCTGTCAAATTTCTCTTTTTTCATCAGAACTAGGGTGGGGCCTGATAATTCATATTCCTAACGACTTCCAAGGTGATAAGGTGATGGTGGTTTACATTCAACCTTTGAGAGTCAGTGACTCATATTAGTAAACAGTGACCAGAGTTCTGTACTTTGAATTGAATATCTGAGCCTCAAAAAGTTAATCATTCATAGTTGGACCTCACTGAGGAGAGGAAGGAGACAGACCTCCTCCCGGTGATATGCTTGAGAGTAGCAGTTATCTGTGAGAAAGCCAAAGGTAATGAAAGTTTTAGGGAAGAGTTTGGACCACCTGGTGCTGTCATGCTTGCCTGGCTGCTTTGAGGCTACCAAGTTTTGTTTTATCATGAGCACTTACTGAATGGGAGAGTTTATATCAGTTATATAAGACACATGAAAAAAATTAGACCCAAGTAGGTATACAAGAAGGTGAGAGGTTCGATTTATCTAACTTGTAGGAAGAACTCAGAAAAGTCTAGTCTAGGAGAATAGCTCAGGGGATATTTTGATAGTTCACTCTAAGAGTGTGGCTTGGGACCCTACAATGGATGGTATATCAGTTATAGATCATATAATACCATAGCCATCCTACTGACTCGGCTCTATTCACAGAGCCTTTCTTGTCTGGCCTGATTCCACAGTGATACTTAGATCTTTGAGGAGACTACAGAATGACCATGCTTGTTTCCTCTGCAGCAGCAGTGAACCCACAGCGGAGACTAGATGGTGCCTATCTACCCTTTACCTGGGAAAAGATGCTCAGATGTATCCTCAGGCCCGAAGCAGGTAGATACCCAAGCTTATAAACAAAATGACTGTTCCAGTCCTCAAAATTCCTGTCTTTTATACTTGAATATGTCTAATATTCTATTTCTTTCTCACAGTGACAGGTAAGCATAATCCCTAACTGGGTTAAAGTATGAATAAATGCTTCTATGCTAGTATGATATATTTTGGTTGCTAATTTTCTTTACCTTTGGGCAAAAGATTTTTAAGTTTCTGATGACAGGCCAAGAAGTATAGCTAGGTGGTCAAACAGTTGCTTATTATGTGCGATATTCTGGGTTTCATCCCCAGAGTGGGGTGTGGATCATCACAGAATAAGTTAAAGGGGCCCAAGGTACATACATTAGGCAGCGAGTCGATGAACTGGTGGATGTTGGCCTCCTTGGCCGCCTTCACAATCTCATCATGAGACACGACCCGGCTGTTGTCTCCGTAAGCGATGTTCTCAGCGATGCTGCAGTCAAACAGGATGGGCTCCTGGGACACAATGCCCAGGTGAGCTCGGAGCCACTGGACGTTCAGTTGCTTTACTTCTTTGCCATCTAGGTACTGAAAGAAAGGGTTCACAGATCAACTTCAGGACCAGCACAATTCAGATTTAACAAAATACTAAAACTCTTAGGGTTACTATGAGGTTAAGGAAAAGGCTTTTAGTTGAAATAAAATAATGGGTAAATCATTATATTTTCATATGTACGTATCAATGTATTTTACTCTGATTTGTCTCCCACTAACTCTACAACTCTGAGATAAGGTCTTATTTTGTAGCCCAGGCTGGCCTTTAACTTACAATGTAGTTCAGGCTAGCCTTTACCTCATGGAAATTCTCCTGCCTAGACCTCTCAAATATTGAGATTATAGGCATAAACTACCAAAACCTGGATCTTTCAACTCTTTACAAAAAAACATTTAATAATATATTTAATAAAATATTTATTTATATTTATTGATAATTTAATCAGAGTCTAAGAACCAACATTTCATTAATTTTGAATATGGTATAACATTATTTAGTCCTGTGTTAAAACTTCAGTGATAAAACTAAAACATGAAATCAGACTCATAGGAAATAGGTTTTATAAATGGCAGTAAAGTAAGAAACAGAGATCTACAACTGTTAAAGATTTGATGGAATAAGGTCATGAGAATAAAAAATGTCTAAGTAGCAGTGAATAATTATTAGAAGTTATAAAGAGCCATGATGGCAGAGGGAAAGTTCTCTTTCATTTCAGTCCCTCCTGCTGCCAAGGCACCCTGGAGCTATGGGTCATTGCTAATGTTTCTGTAGTTGTTATACAGTCTGAGTACCCATAAGTTAATACATACAGAATAAACATTCCCTGCTCTAAGTTCTCTTTAGCTCCTTCTCTATCCCTCTGTCTCATTATAATAATTTAAATTCATCATTCCCTACAAGATTTCTCTCTCATCCCCAGGACCTAAGATAGTTTCTGACAGGCTCTCGAAGTCTTGCTGAATATGAAAACCTGATTACTCCCTTACCACTTCAGTTGATGAAACAAAAGGGTATTCCCCCATTTCCCTACCCACTCTCCTAATGTGTCCACCTTACTTTGGGAGTCCTATTTGTTTTGTTGTACCATGGAGTATGTCCTCTATGTCAGTAGATTGTCTTATCCAGCTATGACAAGAACATGTCCTCTATGTCAGTAGATTGTTTTAGTCCACCATGAAAATGCTTGGGCCTCTTCTCAGCCAGTTCCCTGAACTTCTACCATTCCTGCTATTGTTCTTCCTTTTCACCCCTGGATCATCTTCATAGCCCATACTCACTTAAATGTCCACATCCTTCTCTAACCATCTGTAACTGTGCTACACTGCTTGCTCATCAACGCTTCACTGAGAGAAGGGTGGTAGAAAGAAGCCAGAGATTGCTGTATGTTGTATCATGACGTCTCAGTCCTCGTCTTACTTGAACAGCCTGTGCCCTTGCAAATGACTGTTGCACTGAAATGTGTCCTGCTCTTGACTTTTCCTCCCATCCCCATCTCCTGCAACTCTCTTTTTCTTTCTGCCTACTTTGGGTTTTGCCAACTCTTATACCATCACCTGAAGTCTCACCATGGCAAGGGAGATAGGTGGTAAAAGGCTGGCTGCAACAGAGAACAGAGGAGCAGTATGTTGAGAGAGAAGCTGAATGAATTTATTAGTACAGTTGGCATAGACTGAACATGAAACCTGGGTTGTCAGATTATTTAACAGAGGCTTTTACTTCAGGATTCAAACAAACAAACACCATGGCCTATGTTCAAGAGTTAAACATATCCAGGCATTTGAAATGATGATAACTAAGATGATCTGAATACAAAAGTGTGCTTACCACTGATCCAGCCATGGGGTCATAGAAGCGCTCAAGCAGCTGGACCACTGTGCTCTTCCCGCAGCCACTGCTGCCCACCAGGGCCAGTGTCTGGCCCTTCTTCACCTCGAGGCTCAGTCCCTGAAGCACTGGGATGTTGGGTCGGGTGGGATAGTTGAACATGACTCCATTAAATTTCACATTGCCTTCTAACACACTCTACAATGAGAACAATAACACTTAGCTTGACTGCGATACTGAAAACAGTGTATAGTGGTAACCCTTAGCACCAGGTGTCAAAAGTGAGCTCCTGTCATACTGAGCTTCATTTCACATCTCTGGAATTCAATCTAAAGAGATAATGGTTACACAGCATGAATTCTTAATATAACATCAACGTACGTACTCTCCTAGACTACAATGGTCAGTATTCATCTCTCCCTGTAACTTTGTTTTATAAGAGTGATGAATGTTAATACAGTATTAACACTTATTCAAACCAATTCATCTAGATCTCATCAAGGGTATATAATATTTTTGCATTAAAGCCAAAATTTTATTAAATGAACTCTTCGTGTCTTTTCATTGAGAAGTTAGGGATAAATACCCACGGAAATCATCAAACTCACAGGCTTTAGGCCTTCTGTGCTGTAGCTGTCAATCTCAGGGGTTTTCTCAATGATCCTGATGATGTGGGATGCTGACACTTTGGCTTTCGCGTAATCAGGAGCAAATGAACTGACCTGCCCAACTGCCATGGCACCAAAGACAATAGCTGAGAATACTCTGGAAAAGAAAAGACAAACATGTGCAGTCTGGGATAGCTACAATGTTAACAATGTGGGACTTCTGTAATCATGGAGTAGTTGCAATTATAAAGTGGAAAGATAAAACAAACCCCCTTCCCTCACATTTTCACATAGGCATGGCAGATAATTCAAAATGGCCCCTCTTCACCTCTCCTGTAATCTTTAACTTCTTACAACATGATCTTTGCGTAAATGTCTGTCTAAGAAGTACAAATTTGTGTTCCATCCTTTGACCTTGTGGTGGTTTTGTGACATGGACAGGATGTGGTGGAAATGACTGTTCCCAGTTCCAAGCCTATGACTCAGCATATGTTTTGTTAGCTTTTATTTTTCATCCTGGCCAATGAGCCTATAGCTCACTGCAAACAACAGTGACCATAGCAGAGGTCTACTGTGCCCAACCCAGATAAGGAGAAGTGACCCAGAGCCTTCAAGCAGAATAAACGGTTATAGTTCCATGTCACTGAAGTTTAGTTTTTGATTATTACATAGCATAACTGTGGCAATCAGTAATGCATAGTCAGTGTTGCTGAGATCAATTCTTAGAAATCATGTAAGCCACACAAAGGAAACTTTGTTGTTGCTATTGTTTAATACACAGCTATGATCCCACTTTGAAGAAGCTACTGCTTCTTAAACTGTGGCATGCAACTCATTAAGTGTCAGTAACTTTAGAAATCTTGGAGTAAAGAATAAGCAAAATGATGTTGAAACTGTCCTGCAGTTCCAGGAATGTCAGACTTTGATCTTTGAGTATAGTCACATAATCCCTCCATGAAACATGTATGTTAGAAGGTGAATATTTTTAATCTTGAATTAACTTCAACACAAGAGTAAATCAATGCTTAAACAGGGCAGAAATGGTACATATACATAGCATATTATACAGCCAGGTTTGCGCAACCTGTCACAACATTGACTATACTAAACTATTAGAGGGAAGTCTAGCCAGGCTTTTCACCACTTAGAAGCTCAGAAAGTTCATGTATAATCTTGACCACCAATCTGAATGCTTGGCGACACTGGTAGTGAGATTTCTCTCAGGTTCCTCTTCCCATGACCAAAGTGTAGTGTTTGCAGAAACATAGAGGGAAAATCCTAATCCAGAGCTTCCACTGTCATTTAAAAATCCCTCCAGCTTCTGAGAATCTAGCCCTTAGTCAGATCCCTGACAGGCAAACAAGTGAGGAACAGGACCACTGATAAATAGTAGTGGCAAACCTCTCACTTCTTTAGCTCCTTCCCAAGACAAAAGTCTGGTGGTCTTTCTCTCCTGCCAGCAGAGCTCCCTGCCAGCTGACCAGAGCAAGCTGGTCAGTTATGCTCAAGACTGGTGAGGCCATGTTGATGTAAAGCTGTGGGCTTCAGCAATCCTTTGTTTGTCTAAGCTGGCTAATCAGAAATGATGGAGGAGCAATTCATGCAAGGGTCACATAACACTTAAGGAAACAAAACAAAAAACCAAACCAAACCACCACCACCACCACCACCACCACCACCACCAC